CTCTCCCTGCAGAGAGGCAGCAAGTGCCAGAGGATGGTGAGGAGCGACCAAGCCTCCCACCTCTCCTATAAGAACTGCACCAGCGTCCAGGCCTACAAGCCGCGCTACTGTGGCTCCTGCACAGACGGCCGCTGCTGTACCCCCCACAGAACCAAAACTGCTCTGGTGGATTTCCAGTGTGCTAATGGTAAAATTGCCAGGAGGCCAGTCATGGCGATCCTTACCTGCGTTTGTCACAGCCACTGCCCCAGAGAGAATGCCGTGTGGCAGCCGTCAGAGCTGGGATACAGCGGCATGAGGTTATAGGTCAACATAAGATTGTAATGTACAGTCAATCCAGATTGTCGGTGAAGACGGTGTCTCTAAAAACAGGGATTCTTCGAGGTTGTTACATGGATGGTAGCATCCTTTATTTTACAAACATGAGTTGCATTAACTCAAAACTTTAGATTAAGATATTAGATGGAGAGTGTCCACAACATCATATAAACAGTATGTAGGCCTATAAAGTATGACATGCATTTAAGGAAAAGATCATAGAGAATTAAATAGCTCTATATCCACAGAGGGATTTAATCTTGGATCATTCTAGGAAAAATGTGTGTCATATCTACTATTGCTAAATAAAGCACTTAAATCTTGAGACATAGTGATTCTCTCCACTTCTGGGGATCAAGTTGAGCATAGTTGTGCTCAACCTAAATAAATAAGGAAGAAAGCTTTGGCAGCCAACAGCTTCATGTACTGTGTGTCTTTTGATTCCATCACTTGCTGTACGGTGACATTTTGTCACCTTAATCTACAAAAAAGTAAATAATGATGACATTGATAAAACTGAAACAGCAGCATGAAGGCAAAGGAAATATACGAGCTTAACGTGAGCTTTTACCTTTCAATGGCACTGCTGTGGGAACCTTCCAACCATGGGTCACATTTTTGAAATAACTGGACTGTAAACTCTGACCTGGTCCCAACGAAGGGCTCAATCTATGAAAGAGAAGTCACTGTGGTGACTTGGTGTCATTCCTAACATCTGCTTAATATCCTACTCCTGCATAATGAATATATCGCCAGCAATGAAAACACAACATGTATGTTGTTAGATATTAATACGCTTTTTGTTAAAAGTAGTGCACATAAACAACAGCTGTTTGTATAATGACAAAGGTTTTGTAAATACTTTCTGTATAGTTTGACTGAGTGTGTATCAAATACACAGTGTTAATTGGTAGAAACGTAATTGTATATATTGTTTTTTTTCACTTATACGTCAGACTGCTTATTTCTGTATCTGCAAACGTCAACATAAATAAAAATGTATTTTTTGTATTAAGGTTTAAATCTCTTACTTGTCCTTTTATCGTAAAACATTTTCATTGATGCAGGTGGTGGGGAGGGAGCAGCAGGAAGTGTATATATCAAGACACAGTGTAGGTGCAGATAACTTGGCTGATTGAAGTGATGGTTTGTTTTTGAGTGGAGAGACTTTGTAATAGTCCCCATAAGTTCAATAAAACCAGTAGAAAACAATCAGGAGAAAATTAATTTAATTGTGAATGAGGAATAGACCTTGGCACTTAGACCATAGAAGATAGTATGATGCCATGGAAGAAGAACAATGAATTAGGTGCTTTGGATAGAAGGAGACATTTTTGGGGCTCTCTTGGCCCATGTTCCACCAAGTATTGACAAAGTTGGTTTTCAAGTTTTTGCAAACAAAGAGAGGGGCAATCGTAACTTCCTTGATGGAGGTAATCAGACTTTGAACTGAGGTGAACAGGGAGAGGCAGTGAAAAACAGAGTTGGAATGATTGGACTAAAAGATGCAGCTGAGAGGGAAAAGTAAATAAATAGACGAGGGGGATAAAAAGCCTTAATGGCTTCCTGGGCTGCTTGTTGTGTGGCTGATCATTGCCTACATCGCACTGTTGTGCCACAAATATAGTTTTCATGGATGTGCTATGGAGGTTTTAGCCTGTTGGGTGTGCTTGGGCTAGACCTCTTCCTGTGGATTCCCATTTAACAGACACGGATGTTGAAGCCATCAAATGGGACCAAAAGACTACCACCAAACCCCCCCCGAGGCCCGACTGACAGTGGGTGGTGACCTCTGACCACTCTCAGTGAACCCCACCTGGAGGGTTACAATGGAAACTGTCTCTTATCCCCCTGTAGAATTGCTCCTTGTTCTTAAAATAGCTCCTCAATGGAAACCTCAGCTCATCAGTGTGCTGGAATCAGCGGGGGACTAAAACTATGGTCAACACATCTGGTTGCACACATGTGGAGGTTTCTGCCGAGCACAGATGTGTTGTTAGTTGGTTACGTTTGTGGATCTAGGATTTGAATCTTATTCTTGTGTTGCACTCTGTGTAAATATGTTCAGATTATAAAGCCAGAGAAATAGTTCAAATATATGAAAGATAGACGCTTGTGATGTGGATTCAGGCAACAGTCCTGTTTGAAATATGGCATTGACAGAGGGATTGTAATACAATTTTGTACAGATATCAAATTAAATAACTGCTAAACATCAACATTTTACCACAGTCACTGTTATCCTCCTGATTGTCAGCAAGTTGCATCAAAGTTCAGCCTCGCTAAGCTGCTGTGGCTGCAGACCTTTGTCTTGTGCAATATTATCTGTGATTACTTCGGGCAGAGGATGTGTTTTCCTCTGTCAGTTTATTTGTTTGTTTGGCGCAGATCTAGGATCTAGGATTTATCTAAATCTGGGAACATAACAGCACCACAATTTTCACATTTTCAACAACCATGCACAACTCCTGATTCAGTTAGGTGCACATTTAAGTTATTCCTTGTTTACTGTTAGCTCTGTTAGTTTGTTAGGAAGTGACTATAAGACTACAGACAAGGGCCAATCAGATTTCAGCCCTTTCAGCCCACCCCTGGCCCCACCCCTGGGTCTGCCCCTGGTGCATATGTTCATGTGAATATCTGATCTCAAAATAAATACAATTCTTTTTAAATAGCATGTACCTGTGTGTGCCTTTTTACGGCCGTAACCGTCCCCTGTCCATGTCAGTGTGTATTGTGTCTCTCTGTGTCTCCATCTCTGTGTATGGTGGAAGCCTGGCAGAGGCTCCTCCTCCATGGCTGAAGACAAGGATCCGGATTGGAGCGGCATCAACCTCAAGCCTCAAATCATCAGGAAGCATTTAAAGGCGGAGGCATAAATTCTGTTCAGCTGTGTCACAGGGCAGCTGTGTATTGTGTGTGTGAACAGCCCTCTATTGATATTACATCTGTTACTGAGAGATACTATTTGCTGGCAGACCAGAATTGTGTATTTGAGTATTTATATTAGAGACATTAGAAGTAGGGTGCTATTTGCTTTTGTTGTTTGTCTTTTGATTGTGAATCAGTTGTATTGTTTAAGGAGGATTTATATTCATTTTAGTTTGCATTAGGTTTTGTGTTATCTTTGTCTGTTTGATTTGAAATCATTCCCTTCAGCTTGTTTTTCTGTTCAGTCACGTACCTGTGCTGTCATTACAATCGGAAAACCGAGTTTCAAAATAAACCAAACAACTTTATTTACCAAAATCATCTGGTTTTTATGTTACCTCCTCTTCTCATAACAGTCCCTTTCTGAATAAAGAGGATCCATGTCTCTGATCAATGAAAGGGTCGGTTTTGTTTCTTTTCATATTTAAATAGTCGAGAGAAGGACTGAACATATTGTGTGTGTGTTTGTAGTCATAAAGAGGAATGGGACTGCACAGTTCACACTAAAAATTGAGAGAGACAAAAGAAATACACTCTCTGCTCCTAAAGAGTTAACGTCACAGGAACATTTTGATGACTTTGCCACTGAAATGCAATGACTCACTTCACAAATATTCTCTCTACAGCAGAGCAGGTTTTTCTACTTTAACTTTGAACAAGTAGAAATAAATATAAATGAATACCTGCAGGTTTAACTCCACTGTTTTTATGTGTAATTTGAGGATTTGATTATTCAATTTGAATAGGAATGAATCATTTCATCAGATAACTTTTGGTTATGTGTTGCTTTATTTCAGACTCTTCTTACTGTGGTTCTGTCAGCATGTTATTATACCACTCTATTATAGTATTTAGTCAATGAACTGTATAGGTGACCGCTCAAAGAGCTTTTCAGTAAAAGTTTCATTCAAACACACACCATTCCTACACTTTCGGCACAGCTGTCGGGGAATTTCGGTCAGTATCTTGGCTAAGAACATTTTGGAGTGCAGACCGAAAGAGCAGGGGTTTGAAACACAGACCTGGTTTGAGGACGCCCCAGCTCTCCACCTCTTTAGTCTCAGCTGCTCTTTAATTTCACTCTTAAAGAGACAAGAAATGAATTCCATCCTTCAACTTGTAATAGTAGACTGTGAGGTTCTGTACGTCTGGACTTGTGCAGTCCAATTTTCCTTTTCACACTTTTCTGAGGACCCAAATGTATTGGAGCCTGATTATATGTTGTGCACTCCTTGATTATGTTTGGCATGAGTGATAGAACAGCTGGCCTGGATTGTATATGAGTCAGTCAGTGCTGTGATCTCAGTGAGAGACTGATCTAGTTTTTTAGACAATACATTTCATCGCAATCTGATGCTTGCATACAAGTCTTTGAGTCCTGCCCCACATTTATGGGAGGATGCTGCCTACAACTAAGTTATTAGGAAGTGATTTGTAAATCTAATCCTGAACCTCCCAACCTACCTGACTCACCATACCCCCACTTGACACTGCTGCCCCATCAGAGCAGGTTGCACCCAAACAACAAGCAACTGAAACAACCATTAGTCTGAAAATAAGCTTAAAATAAAAGAAATGTATGCAAAAAGGAATGCAAGAATCCAGAGTCCAACCCTTTAAATGCCTGGAGTCAAAGGAGCAGGTGGAGCAGGGAGGTGCCTTCAGAGCTCTGGGTGTACTCTACTCATAGGAGACATTCATTAAATTCAGAAATGACAACAACCTGAAATGAATGACAACATCATGTTTCGTTATTAGAGGCAAACTTTATGTAAATTGTGAATCAAACAATTCAACAGCAAAAGCAAGCATAATAAGTCTGAATAATGATAGTTATTCATTGGGATTTACACACTGTCCCTATAAAATATATTGTCATGTTGAAGTGTCAGAAGAATGTGTGACTGGAAGGAGAAGTACATCCATCATTGTGAAAAACAGTTTAATCTGATTTGACAGATTTTGTTAAATGTACATGATTAGTGTGATAGTGTGAAAAATAAACATGCAACATGATGTACAACAAAATAAGACAGCATGTAAAGAGACAGAAAGTATTTGCAGTCATTTCACTTTACAGATCTGGCAATCTCGGAGCTCATCGTCTATCGTCTGATGACATAACAGGTCAATGGGGTTTCCAAGACTCTGTCCTCTGTTCCCTGGACACTGTTTAGAGTCCGACTACATCTTTTATCACAGAAGGTGAATATTTCTCCTCACAAAATACAAACAGACACACATTGCAGGCACAACTGTCATGTAGAATTTTGGGTCAGTATTTTGACCATAGACACTTTGGAACAGGTAATGGAGGAGCTGGGGATCAAACCATTAACCTGTTTAGTGAACAACCAGCTCAACTTAATGATTTCAGCCACCCTCCGAAATTAAATAACACAGCAACAAGAAAAATAATCAGGGCATAGAATTTGTCCATTTCCTGCGTGGTTGATTTGATGGTCGAGGCTTTGAGGGTGGTTGGTGAGAGGACCAGGGGGGCACAATTTATACCATCATCAGGGAGACCGGGGCTGAAGAATGGATAGATTTTCTCATTGAATGTGCAGCTGGTAAAAGAGTAGATCAGAGTCGCAGTGTCCACATCATAGAAGGACACCAGCTTCTGCTCATAATCCACAAACACCCCAATCGTCTTCGGTTTGTTCGTCAAGTGGAGGTTGAAAGGGACATTTTTCAAAGCTGAGATTTTGGTATTCTTCATTCTAATGATCCAGACCCCGTTCCTCGGGTTTGGTGTGATTGTTTTCTTCCCACGCACCGACTTTCTAACTACTCCTAAATCCCATCCGGTCTTCCTTGTGACCTGCACCTCATAGTAGAATCTGCCTTCAGTAAAGCCCTTATTCCCCAACACGTAGGTATATCTGTTAAACTTCTGCGGGGTATTTCCAATCCACCAAATATGAGAAGTTTGCACTTGTTTTAAACATTCTGAAAACAGGAGCAGATCATTTGCAGTGCACGGATCAAATGTCATGTCCACCTCAAACCGCTGCCGGATCACTTCCAACTTTATGCCTTCGGGTATCATGTCTAGGTCTGTGTGTGTGTCGATCCATTTTTCAGTTTTTTCATCAAGGATTTCATTACAACTAGCCTTGAATTCTCGACAAGCTCGCTCCATCTCTTTTGCGAGCGTCTCCTCCAGCTCCGTCAGCGCTCTCTTGACATCCTCCACACGGTGCTGGCCACTGATTCTGACGTCCCCCCAGTTCTTTGTGTGTGGGAGGGAGGAGGAGGAGGAGGACCGGAAGCGCTTGATGAGCTGGAGTTGGTCTTCAGTGTGTGAGATGCTCTCCAGCTTAGTGATTCTCTTCTGAAGCTCGATGATTTCTTTCCCCAGCTCTTTGACCAGCACCTCAGCTTGTCTTTCTGCTGCTCTTTGCTTCTCCTCAAGCTCCCTCATTAGCCCACACAGGCCTCTTTCAATAGACACTAGCAAAGTAGTGAAGACCTGAGCACTGTTCACCTTTGCTTCATCTTTGGTTTGCCTCCTCGTGTCCATGTCATCTATTAGCTCCTGGACCTTCCTTTGTCTCTCTTGTATCATCTCCTGCACCTCCTCCTTCTTCTGCTCCAGCTGAGCCTTCATCTTTTCGTACTCTTCCTCTATAGGGACCGTATCATGACCTCTATGTTCTGTACACTGGACACAAACACGGGTCAGGTCATTCCTGCAGAAGTGCTCTAACATCCTGTTATGCTCCTTGCACACTTTGCTCATCAGGTTCTGCACAGGATCGACCAGTTTGTGCTTCTTTAATGTAGCAACTCTCAGGTGAGGCTCAAGGTGTGTTTCACAATAAGAGGCCAGACACATCAAACAGGTTTTCGTGGCTCTGAACTTGTTGCCAGTGCAGCAGTCGCATGGCACCTGTCCAGCTTTGACGAGGACATCGTTCTTAAATTGTGTAAAACTTTGTGTCCTGAAGTTCTCAACCACCTCCCTGAATCCTGTGTTTACACAGAGCTTGAGCCCTTTGCTGAACTTCTCGTTGCACAGCGGACACTGACAATGCTCCTTGCCTTGCCAGTGCCTGCTGATACAGTTCTTGCAGAAGTTGTGTCCACAGGGGATAGAAACTGGCTCGGTGAAGACGTCCAGACAGATGGAGCACATGAACTGATCTTCAGACAAACCACTGCCTGAGGCCATATTTAGAGGAGAGTCTACGAAACATAGATCATTTATTGATTTTTGTTTGAGCCAATTTACACAAAAAATCATGACTCACAAAGACGAGTGGAACTATTTACACTGCAGATTAATTAATGTTAGACAAAGTTTTTCTGTTGGCAATAGATCACTAAGTCATTTTCGTCATACTGGGGTTTCATAAAAAATAACTAGTTGAAATCATTCACTTCTAAATAAATATAACTAACAGCAACACACAATTTCTGTAACGGGATAAACATCACAAAGTACATGAACACTTTCACTGTATGTAATATCTATTAATATATAATATCTTTCATATGTGATATGAGCAAATATAAATGGCTTTTTTTTACTTCTGGGAGTGGCCATTTTAAACAGCATGAACAATATAAAAACTGATTTCAGATCGGATTTTATATGATAGCAAACAGATCATAAAATGTCTGGTATGACTCATGACGTAGCAAACTGAAGTTTCATAAAAATCAAAACCTTGTCAATAAGTTGATAAACAGCAACCAGTCATTTCAGTCTCTGGATTTAAAAACCTCATAACCTGTAACATGAAGCTGTAAATATTCTATAACATCAGAACATTATCATGAGTTGAACTTTACCTGCTTGGATATGGAAGCTCAGCTCTGTTGTGTGTGTGTTTTAGCACAAACTCCACTGTTATTTGAGGGAACTAGTGGTTTCATTTCTCTGTAAATACTGCAGGGCTCCTCCTCAACACTTCCCCTCCTTTCTGCTTAAAGGGATAGTTCACTGAGAGATGAAAAATCAGTCATTATCTACTCACCACTATACAGATGGAGGGGTTGAAGGGGTGAATTGTTTGAGTACACAAAACAGCATTGCAGCCAAATCCAATACAATTGAAGTAACTGGGGACCGATTCTTCAGACAAAAGAAAAACATAACGTGCCTCCATACTGGTCCTGTGGTGTCATCCAAGTGTCCGGAAGCCCCGACATTCATAATCGACTCAAAATGGCATCATTTACACTATGTTTTAAGCCTTAATGCAGCTTATGACGAATACTTGATAATTACTTTGTCTTGTGGTGTCATTGATTCGCTTTGTGTGTCACAGTGTACCGACAGTGTGCGTGTGTGAATAAACTAGTTTCTAGCCAACGTGGGTGGATTAGCCTGCAGAATGGTACAGGCAAATAGGAATGCAAAAGAGGAGACTGGTTAATACACAGGAAATACTGTGACAATGAGCTGGAGGAAGTGGAAGGTTTAAAGGAGTGAGTCAGAGGGCAGAGGGAAACAGGTGATTATGAGGGACAGAGGACGAGAAGAAATAAGGACCGGGGACATCTGGTGGAGTAAAGATAGGAATTACAAGAAGCAGAAGACGGAGGCCGAGGTTTACTCAACACTGGACAGAAGCAGGAATGCAAAGTACAGCATGTACTACTTAGTACTGAACGATTAGTATTTCTCCTTTTTGGTAGAATTTACTTCAAAAGGTGTAATGGTTCAGTGTTTACTCAAATGAAACATTTCTATCCTCTCTTTTGTCAATAAATTTATAACCTTAATAATGGTTCTTGAATT